GGGGGGCGCCCTACATATGAAGTTTTCACGTGATGCGGTGATCCCGAGGATTCCAGCCCCTCACTTGCTAAAGCAAGGACAACTCCAGCTGGTGCTAGCTTTCGTGACAATGATTTTTGGAAGGAATCCCCCGTGCTATGTATTGATCAAAATCGCTCTGTATTGGAACCCAAAACGCACATGCATAGACTTGAATACATTTGAGGTATGTGTGAGTTGAGCGTCGCTCAACATGGACTTTCATGTTTGGCCCGGCAACCCCCCACCACTGTGGCCGGACCCCGGCAACATCTGGAAGGAGGTGATGGAGATGGTCACAGTATAGGAACTTAGGAACTCTGTGAACATCCAACATGACGAAGGCTAAGATGTGGTTGTGGGACCGCAAGTGACACAGGTGAGTGGACTAACTAATGCTCGGAATTGGTGGAGCCGGTCGTATTCCTGCAATTCTATTGTTAGCTGGGTTTCTTCTCCCGCCAGAGTGGTCAGGATCAAGTGCACGACCTTTCCTCACCAATGGGAGCTAGTCACTGACATAGCGTCTGTTGTCAAGTCTCATGGGGTCTCCTTCGGGAGAGTGTGAATCAAGTTTTCGAGCCTTCATGTCCTGCAGCGGACAACATGCTAGCTCGCCCAACTGGAGCTCTCCCTAACTTGGGTACGGACGACTACACGGGCAGCCTGAGTGCAGCCCTGCTTGTGCAAGTGTTGGATCTTGTTTCGACGACACCGGGATATGTTCTTTTTTTCTGTTCAGAGGCAGATAGTGGATCCCCCCTGGGGGCAGTTAGTGCATGACATGCCTCGAAGGCATTGTCAGCAACTCGCAGGCGTCGCCCCGTGGTTTCTTAGGTGAGGCACTCCAGCTTGCTGCACCCTGCAAAGGCCCCATGCCCAACAACAGAGTTGATGGAGGAGGGCTAGTTTGCACAACGAGCTGCAGGCTTCGAAAGCCTCTGCACTAATTTCCTTCAAATGGGATGGCAGGAAAATATGTTCCAAATGCTGGCAGTGCGCAAAAGTGTGCATGTGCAGCATTTCGACTTTGGTCCGCGAGATCACTTGGACTGTTATACACAGTGTGCAAACCTTTATGACCGATGAAATCGTCCCTTTGGGCAGGCTGACAAGTTGGACTCCCAAGGAATGGAAGCACCCAATTGGTATGCCTGCTGGAAGGAGCGAAGGAAAAACCATGTCAGTGATAGCTCTTGTTTGAGGGAGGCCCATCTGTTCGAGCCTTGTGCAACCCTTAAAGGCATATGGTGAAATGACAGCCCCGCAAGCCAGGCGGCAAGGGTGTTCTGTGAGGATCCCTACTTTTTCGAGGGCGCAACATTCTGCGAAAAGTCTGACCCCAGGGATTGTGGGATTGACAGTAACGCCACGCTGCCGGTCGATGGTATGAAAGCCTCCACGAACGTGCCGAAGGCGCGTGAGTGGAAAGAAGGCTTGGCAGGAAGAATATCTGACTCATTAATGGGGACCCAAATGGCCTTGGGATGGTCTTCATACACCTCTCGTCGAATTTGCTCCTTAGAGCCACAAGTCCGTCGGCAGTCTTGCATGACAAGGTGAAAGCACTCATTGTAAGCTCTTGGATTGGGTCGCACAGTGAGCAGAGAGTATCCACTGTCAGGAGAGTTAGTTCACATCCAAAGGTCTCCAGGCCGTAGCTCTTGTAACTGCTCAATCAAATAGTCTTCCAGCATTTCCCAATTGTGGCAAATGCTTACCGGGACTACTATGTGCATTTCAATGCCTGCCATAGTGATGAGCTTGAGGGGACAAGGGCAGGTGCCGGCAAGTTCGTCCTTGCTACTGTCGTGCGTTGTTTCATTTCTGCACATGCTACACATCAGGTAATCACGTTTAACTATGAAATCTCAACTATCGCTGGTTTGAGCCAAAAGCCCCCACTTTTTTTTTTGTTACTCTGCTCATTAGGGCAGTGCTTAACTGATGCCAGCCGTCCAAAGGGTTAGGGGCCAGAGGCAGCACTCGTGGTTTCCATGTTTTGCTCGGCTTGTGAATCTGTCTGCGCGGCTTCGTCCTGGACGGTTGGTTTGATCAATTGTTGTGTAAAAGCCCGACCACAAGTGTGCTGCGTTGACAGCATCCGAACACAGCTCAACTACGTGACGATGTGCTGCCACTCTGCGGCGGTGATGGCGTTCTGCTGAGGAGAGTACGGCAGCCTCGCTTCATCTACGAGGTCAGCCGGGTATCTGTTGGTAGTAGGCCTGAGTAGATCTTTGGGAGTGGTGGTAAGCATGCATTTTTTGGCGAGGATATGCCAGTTGGGCCGAGAGAGAACCACTGCCAGGCCCATGAGAAGCCACTTGGAGATGATTTCACACTTATTTCCAATGCTCCGCGCAGAGTAGGTGTCCTTTGCTCAAGCAGAAACACAGCGGACTGCCACACTGGAGGACCTGGCAAACATGTCAGATCCCATGTAGGGGACACCAGTCAGTGTGACCCTGCTGCTCCATCCTACAGCCCCTTTGAAGCACAGGAGCAAGAGGTCATCACTACAGAGATTGACTTGTCTGCTAAACATGCAGAAAAGGTGGTACGGCAGCTACCGACCCAAGACTTGCTGCAGAACAAGTGGCAATGCATGCATTTTTCAGCTACCACGAAAAACTCCGGGTAGCAACCTTACACGGTAGACTACCTACCTCCCCTGGATCTTTAGCTCACAACAGGCTCTCACACTCGTCCGGTACGGTGCGAAACCTTTCCTTCACACTTCCGAACACTTCGGAAAACTTCAAACGCTGCACAAACTGGTCTCAGACACCCTTTTCTCACACTAGCCAAACGAATTGGCCTTGAGCCAAAACATATCCCGTAGCACTAAACTATACAAAGAACACACGAAAAACATATTAAAAGTCTCTTAAAGTATCTCCACATACAAAGAACTCTTTCAAAACTTCCGACTACGCTACAAGTCGCTTTCAAACAATTAAGAAACAAAATGTTGTACTACCGCCAGGTTCCAAATCTTTCACAAACAAACTTAAACGAAATTTATGCATCGCAAACTGCAAGCATCGAGCGAGGTGGACATCCCGACATGGAATTTCTTCACCCCCTCTTGGACACAAAGCTCGAAACGAACTGGCTGGCTTTAAGCCTTCTTATTCTTCTTCAATGAGGACAGACATTTGGCGCAAATATCTTTCGACATAGGTACGTGCATGCCCGAGCAAGTTGGATTCAAATGAACCTTGCTCCCACTCACTGAAAAATACACTTTTGAGCATTGCTCAATGCCTTTTGGAACTGGATAGCTCTTCGGCATATCGACTTTAAAAGTCACTTGGCTCTCAGGCTCAGCATGCTTCCGACACCGCAGGCAGCAGCAGGTCAGCAGGCATCCCAAAAGAAAACCGGCTGCAAAGACCAAAGCGGTCGCTGCTTCCAGGCTCAGCGCCGCAAGCGCCGTTCCCACATCCGGCATAATACCTCGGATGGTATAAGCTTCATTCCAAGAAAAGCTGTATCTCACAGTCTGCAAAAACCAAGATTCTTTCGAAATGTGCAATCGAAAGTGCTCGCAAAAACGTGCCATTCGGCTCAGACAACGTGCAAGACTTACTTGGCTATTATGACTCTAATTCGGCTTTAAATCCTTTAAGGATTAGCTCGCAAAATCTCCTGGGGTAGTGTTGCGTTTCCTTCCAATTGACTTCCTTGGACGGCAAATGATCATGACGACCATCACAAACGCAAACCTTCAGGCTTTCCAACAACCGAGTACTATCTGTCTCAATCCTCCAGGTCTTTCTGATCAACTGACCCTTCTGGTTCAACTTGACTGAACATGCATCCACAAATGTTGAAAACGTCTTCCGTTTCCTCAGAAAATCTCTAGTCTGGTTCCATCCCCAATAGGCACATCTCTTTGGCCATTCAATCGCTACGAAATCGGCTACTTCCGACATCCGTAAGAAACCTTTCCATAGCTTCTTTTGAATCTGGTACAACTCTCGAAGATGACCCATATAGTCCTGACCAAACTTCTTGATGCAAATGTACTGAAACGGACATCCTCCTGTACACGGAATTGACGACCACAAGACAACAAGCTTTCCTCTCTTCCGATGGCTTATCATCTGCTCCCGAACTGACTCGATCGTGTCCGATCGGGTTCCGTCATCCGCCTCAGTGACAGTCAAGACTTCA